AAAACACTTGAAAATGTATGTTCACAGACACTTTTCATCCAATCATGCTTAGGCTTAAGTTATTATTCCAAGGAAATTGGAAAACGTTTGAGCTGCTGAAGGTAAACTGCAAACATCTGCAGGTGAAACTGCAACCAAAAAGGGAGTGAATACAAAAGCAGCTAAATCTTGGTCATCTTTTTCCCATCCTCTGCACAGTTTTGTCACATCAGTATTCACTGGAGTTTGTGATTGTACCTTAAAATTAAAAAAAAAAGTTTAGGGGTATTTTAGCAAGGCAATTGTGGCAGTTGGATGGAATGAATTGTGTCTTGGTACTGTTGGTACAACTGGGGAGAGGAGGTGTCACAGTCTGATCACAAACACAGCTTTGTCTATGTGGGTGTGTGCGTGTGTGTGAGTACTCAGTTTGTATGAGTTCAGAGGAAACTATTTTTCTAACAGAGTTCAACTTCTTGTAAAAATATGATTGTAACAAATAATTATCAATTGTTATCGACATCATGAAGATTCACCAATCCAAAAATAAAGAATAATGACTTGCACGAAAGGCAAATGACAGATCCAGAAAATCAAGTCTTTATTCCATGTTTCTTTCTAGTTCGGATGCAACATCCACCAATCAGGTAAGAAGAGAACAGAGACTTGTGTTGTTGAACTCTGCACTTATGTATTTCTAGATGTGGTATAAAATCACCTGCTTTGATCTCCTCATATGATCCAAAAGGCTCACGGCTGGAGGAGTTGTGATGACACTCGCAAGGCACATGCCTCATGCCCAAGGTTCAGAAATGTTTGCTTCACCACACATTGCACTGAAATGTTTCTCTTGCCCTTTTAGAGTCAAAGGAGTTTGATTCTTTACCAGGTTATGCAGCATTTAGAGGATTTTTCTAAAGAGTCATCACTTCAGTCTGAGTCCTGTTGTGTTGTATGTTTGTGTGTTGTGAATCAGAATGGATTCATGCAAACACTGTAATCATCTGTAGATGTCTGTAGCAATGGGTGATGCAGGAATTTTTCCTGATTACTGTCGATTATTCAGATGATCATGTTACACATTGTGTCAGTCAGTGTAATCAGCATTAACCGAATGATATTTAGGCAACTTGCCACACCATTTTTGCCTGTTTGCCTCCTAGACCACATCTGATGAGAAATTTCTACACATTTGCTTCCCTGTGTAACTCTAACACAACACTAATTCTCCCCTGCTAAACACTAGATCGTTAGCAGGTATCTGCCTTGGCATTCAAATCCTCCACTGGTGTCACACGACAGGACATCAGTGGATTTATTTACTTAATTGAAAGACGACATTGAAATTTAATTAAAAATGTGACAATTCATGAGTTCAAAAAAAGAATTCTAGAATTGGCCAAAAGGCTTGTTTTCCTCTGTAGTTCCATGGCTGTGATGATAAAAAGGCAATAAATTATCATCATTCTAACATGAATCTGCATTGATCCAAACCATCCTGCTGTAGCTGCATAAATTGGTTGTCCTGCTGGAAGGTATTTTACAGCCTCTAACAGGTTTTCTTTCAGGATGGCTCTTTCTTAGACACCATCCATATTCCCTTCAATTCAGCTTTCCTTCCTACTAAAGGAAAGCATCTCCATACAAGGAAGCTGCTGCCTGACAGGAAGGAAGCGCACCATATTGAGGATGGTGCGCTCAGGTGCTCTGTGTCAGTTTTGTGCCAAAGATTGTTTCGCATATGTCAAAAAGTTTAATTTGACCTCATCTGACCTTCTTTCACAAACCCATAAAGTTGTCCCCTGCCTGGCTTGTAGAAAACGACCAACAGGACTTTTTATGGCTTTCTTTTAACAATGTCTTTTGTCTTACTCCTCCATAAAGACCAAGTCTTGGGAAATTGTTTTCTAACCAACTACCCTTTAAATTTCTCAACCACTTCCTCCCTGACATGTCTGGTGGGCTCCTCAGTCTTCATGATGCTCCTGGTTCTCAGATGTTCTCCAACAAATCTCTGAAGCCTTCACATAACAGCTTCATTTATACTGGCATTAAATGGCTAACTAAATTTTGCCTTAAGTTAAGATTTTACTGTTTCTACAACAACAGATTTCTTGTGTCATGTATTGTCTAGTGCTCTTCGCACTTCTTAATAATTGCTGGCATTGACTTCAATCAAAAGGCTCCTCATATGTAGCAGGGTACATACCCGATGCAGGAGTGCCTGCGTGTGGAGAAGCTGCCATGCGTCTTCCGAGAAAAGCGGGAGTCTTTGTTCATTATGTCAGATGCAGGTTCAAGAGGATTTGGGCTGAGCGTGGAAATTCACCGGAGAAGCATCTCTGGGAGGGGGACAGTGAAGCGGAACCTCTGCGGTGTAACCAGTACCTCCATAGAGTCATGGATCTTCAATCAATCTCAATTCCTGAGTGTGATCTCAGTCCAAACTTATGGCAACTAGGAGACAAGTTTCAATGAGAGGAAGGTACAGGAAAATGTGAAGCGAGAGCAGCAAATGCAAAGCAACCTGAAGATGCAAAACAGCAACATGCAAGGGCCCCAGTCACAGCCGGTGGGAGTAAAAATAAAGATGACCACAGTCCTGCTCAGGCTGGGAGGTGTATCAAAGTAAAAGTCCGATTTCACATTTCAGTTCCAGATGTAAGTGTGCATCCGCTTGATTTTTCTGGAGAAGACTAGATTCCCTCAGAATGAATGTGGACGATGAGAAGTCTAAAAAGGCAAAGTCTTGACTGTCAAACCCAAATCACAGAAAGAGCAGACGGAACGCTTCAGGAACGGGGAAGGTGAAGGGTCTGAAGACAGTGTCAGCCGTCATCTCATTCTCATTCTAGCTTACCACAAGACCACAGGATCAAGGATTTTTTTCCTCCTCTCTCCTCCTCTGCAGTTTAATAGGAAACAAACTTGACTACTTCTGGATGACGTTGGAAACTTACAAAACGGAATCCTTTAGGAAAGCTCCCTGGGTTTTCTTTCTCTGCCAAAGTCAGGTCCTTAACAAAAATCAGTCAGTCTCATTGTACACTCGCCTCTATCGTGCTACACCGTGAGCGGAGTGAGTGGAATTATTCTTAGTGGGGAAAAATGAACTGGAAAGAGTGTTCTAATCCCATCAGATGCTCTCTGGAGTGGGCTGTCCCATGCAGTCCCTGTCAGCGCAGGCCATTACAGGCTTCTGCCCTCCCTCTTGCCTCTCCTGAGAGTGGTGGGACCAAACTCGGGCTTAAAACAACAAACAACTCTGCCTCCCCAGAGAGAGACACACACAGCGAGAGCGACAGAGAGAAAGAGATTGTGGAAGAGCCCCTCCTGACCAGCAGGGGGTCTTGCTGGTCAGAAGTGAGACGCTAAATGTGAGCTGATGGTATTCAGGGAGATAAAGAGCACAAATTATAGCTGTGCCTCGCAGCAGGGGTCGTAGCCAGTGCCCTGCAGAAGTCTTCACACTCATGGAGCTTCTCCACATTTCGAGTCATTACAACAACAAGCATTAACATGTTTTGTTGGGATTTTATGTGATAGATCGACACAAAGGAGATCATTATTTGAAGTGGAAGAAAGTCAAACAGGACCTTTCACATCTCTTACAAAGTTCGGCATAGTATGGTTCCACGGATTATGGATTTGTTGCCATAAACTGTTCATTTCTTG